TATATATATATGGATATATATATATATATATATATATATATATATATATATATATATATATATATATATATATATATATATATAGATATATATATAGATATATATATAGATATATATATAGATATATATATAGATATAAAATTTGGTTTTGTTGGTTATAAAAACTTTTGGCAAAGTGCTCAATGGAAAACCAGAGCATATTTAAATTAAGGTATAACAAATCAACAAAATCCACTAGGCATCTTTATTACTAAATAGTTTCGTACCACAGTATGTGGCACTCTTCAGATAAATTGACCTAATGACTATAGACTAAAACTTACAAGGTTATATGTACAAGTGGATGAGACATGAAACTTAATCCTATTTACAAAGCAAGCGATTTAATAAACATGTTATATGATAAGCTGACAGGACGCGGAAAGATTAACACACCGCGGTATATTTAAATGTCTAGCTTTTAAATGTTACTTAAAAGGAATTTTTTATTATGCCTACATGCTGATACTAACTCATTACGTTTGTTTAAAGTGGCCATTTTAGGCTGACAAATAATAAAGTATTTCTCCCATAAACACAAATTACATCTATTTGAAGCACATTTATAAGGCTTAGCTCGTTTTAATAGTTTCCATTTCATTGTATAATGGATGTTTCGATTTTTCAATTCCCACACATATTTGCTAAGTTCAGTAGCGTTCCGTTTGTCAAACGAGCTAAATGATGCTTTATGGTTCGCAAGTCTTGTTTTGAACGAGTTTTCAGTAAGGCCGACATATGCTTGGGGAGGTCTATTGGTACTTTTGTCCTTAGTAGTGACTGTGGCTTGATATACAACCGATTCGGTGATACATTTATTAGACAGTGGGCACAGTTCTTTATTGTTTTTAGGGCAACTGCACATGTCGGGACTATTCATGGTGAAAGCTGTAGACAGCGTGGATTTGTTGTGTCCATCGATAGTCTGTTTAATGTTTGGCATACAGCTGTAGCTGATCTTGACTGTATTACGGTTGAATATTTTGTGTAATGGGTGATCTGCGGGAAATTCCTCGTCAATTATCTTCAAGAAAGTCTGGCCAACATTAGTCGAAACATTCTTACTATATGGTGGATTATACCATATAATTTTTCTTTTACGGCTTCGGGTTTTGTTATTAGTTGTTAGGTTTAGGGGGTGTTTGAACTGTAGCTTGTGGTTGTATCCACTTTTGTCAAGGGCTTGTTGATATGGCGGGGAGGCTTGTTCAAATAGATGTAATTTGTGTTTATGGGAGAAATACTTTATTATTTGTCAGCCTAAAATGGCCACTTTAAACAAACGTAATGAGTTAGTATCAGCATGTAGGCATAATAAAAAATTCCTTTTATGTAACATTTAAAAGCTAGACATTTAAATATACCGCGGTGTGTTAATCTTTCCGCGTCCTGTCAGCTTATCATATAACATGTTTATTAAATTGCGTGCTTTGTAAATAGGATTAAGTTTCATGTCTCATCCACTTGTACATATAACCTTGTAAGTTTTAGTCTATAGTCATTAGGTCAATTTATCTGAAGAGTGCCACATACTGTGGTACGAAACTATTTAGTAATAAAGATGCCTAGTGGATTTTGTTGATTTGTTGTACCTTAATTTAAATATGCTCTGGTTTTCCATTGAGCACTTTGCCAAAAGTTTTTATAACCCCTTCTAAAATATGCATGCATACTGCATACATACTGTATTCATGCAACATGCATGTAACGGAATATTCATACATGCCCTCATGCATGCAAAGGTATGCACATGTATGCAGATGACTCATGCATGCATGCAAATCGCACATGCATGCATGCAAATCGCACATGCATGCATGCAAAACACACATGCATGCATGTGAATTACACATGCATGCATGCAAATCGCACATGCATGCATGTAAACACACATGCATGCATGCAAATCACTTATGCATGCAAGTATGCACACATATATGCATGCAAATTACACATGACATGCATGTAAAATTGAAAAGCATGCATGTAATATCTAAATGCATGCATTCAAACATTAATGCATGCATGAAAACTTAAAATGTGCGCATTCAAAGAATACAATTGCCAACTAATCGAAATGCATGATTGCAATTAAGGCAACCTCGCAAGCAAGGGCCTCTGTCCCGCCGCGGGTGTGGAGGCCCTTGCTTGCGAGGTTGCAATTAAGGCTGAATTTTAATTATTGGTGGAAGTTAATTAGTTTCAAATATAGGTGATTACGGCTGTTCTCCACTGCATTTACATAAAGTTTAAATCTGAAATACTGTAGACATTGAATTAGTTCATAAAATTGAGACATAAGTTTTGACTACTGTACAGTAATTATCCCATACATTTATTGATGACCGAACTACCGGTTTAAATTTACCAGCTCAGTTTGTTGGTTTATGCAGATAGATCTGTAATCTTAGAACAATCTAAATAAGTAAATGAATAACTAATTAACCTTCGGAATTCTTTACAATTTACATTTAGTAAACAATTGCACCTGTACTATACAGGGTGTCCCAAAAAAAACGGAAACTATAGAAATCACTTATTGTTAAATTTGAATGCCCTACCAAACAGCTGGACGTAATGATGCGTAAAATATTGACAAGGTGCATGTATTAGAATTTAGTTAGGAATATCTCCTAGTAAAGTGCGCGATTTTCTGCTCCTGGGAATTAAAAACAGCTTCTTAAACAGTTTCTTTATGCATAAAATTTACTTCTGTCAATCATTTATGCACTCGTGGGAACCAACAGAGCGCTAAGGCATTCAAATTCTAACAATTAAATTGTTATTGGTGATTTCAATAGCTTCCGGTTTTTTTGGGACACCCTGTATAGTAATAGATCTCAATTACCTCGTTATTAGTCTGTTTCCAAAGTGTTTGGAGGTTTGCATATATATACAATATTTGAGGTGAAGCTCTGGATAGAAACTTGCTTCTCTCCAATTTGGTCAATTTTAATAAAGGAAAAAACACTTTGATTGCTGGAAGAGAAAAACATAGTATCAATTCGTAATATTGTCTTATGCACAAGGCACTATCACTAACTGTATATTATTATTCTTCTACAGTAATCATATAAATTAATCATATCGTAAAAAATTATTTCATGACGCTAGCTTCACCAAGATAAGATGGTTTTCATGAGGGGCGTCGTCAAATTATATACAAAGTATTAATATTTACAATTTATATATGTCAATTTATATACAAAGTATTATTATTGTCAATTTTTATACAAAGTATTAATATTTACAATTAATACTGTATGAACATAGCATTGCAATAAATATTTTAGAATTGACTGAAAATCAATATTTTCTGACAATGTTTTGAACATTATTCCAACAAACCTGGGAGAGGTGAATGGTCTCAGATAACAACCAAGTTCTTTGTTCACTGTAGTTATGTTCACGTCAGCCATAATTTCTCTATTCTAACAAGGTTGAAGCTCCTCTATTGCTGCAACACAGTACTCGTTGTTCTCACCAAATGTCTCTGCCATTGATACCTTTAGAAAGTACAGAATTTGGCCAAATTTTTCCTCTCCATTGCTCGCCAGATAGGTAATAGTGTAGCTGTTTCTTTTCTTTATGTTCGTACATAACTTGCTGTAAAACATCTGTTTCTTGTAAATTGCTTTCTTGAAATTGTATGCCTGCTCAACATTGACAGCTGCTCCAAAAATTAGCTCATTTAATTCTGCTAGCTGCTGAAAATCAAGTACAACTTTATTCATACCACCGACCGAATAGCATCCTTTAAATAGATTCTGGCAGTTGTTTCTAAAATGATGGAAAAGTGCTGCCCATTAGCAAAACTAATTTACAAAATCAAATCAAATTAAATTTATTTTGCCAAATAAGTATAACATAATAATTACAATTAACACACACGTACACAAAAATTATATAACAATTATATAACAATATACCAATGAATAGTTAACAAAAAACAATGAAAATGATTTTGAGTGTCTTAATTTGCAAAAACGAAAAATTTAACATTATGAGACTGTACAGTGCGGTAGCCGTTAAACTAGAACTGCCCGGTTTGAATAAAATTGCACATAATTTTGGATGTTAAAATTATACTAATTGTCACACACCTTATTGGTCTAGTAAGATTGGCAAAAAATATACTAGTTTCTCTTGAAAGATCATCGTCAAATTGTTGTTTTTGCTCAATATTTACGAGTCTTATGGATTTTATTGCAGCGACCACCTAAGAAATGATAATACAGTATTCACATAAATAGGAAAAAATGTATTGTAGAATTTAATACATGTAAATGTAATGCAATAATAAACATTTTCACTTTACCCAATGGAAATTTATTGCTATTCACCTGTGTGGCAACATGATGAGTACCATGAATTAATTTCATCATTGTACCATTCCAGGACTCAGTACCAAAGCAAGAGAAAGCCCATAATGGCCCAGCCAATTTCACACTTGTAGTCATGTGCTTGCACACATTGTGGACATTCATTGTACATGCTGATTCACCTATAAATGTATAATATACAGTATGTAGTCCAATTGTTATAAATTAATAATCTGATTATATTATAATTACAGCCTATTACTGTATGACTAACTTTATAACAAAACAACACAATTTACCATAGTATTTCGACATTAAAGCATAGAACTCTTCAAGTTGTCGATCGGCTGACAACAAACCAGACTGAGTGACTGGTTGTTGGAGTAGGTGATATACTGAGGTAGCAAGTAGAGCATAATGACAATACAGTTCATCTGGTAGAATCCCATGTAACACTGGCAAGGAATAGTATAGCAGCCATGATCGGACCTCCGAAGCTGCAAAATCAAAGGGAATGAACTTAAGGATATGGGGATAACTAAAACGTGAATAGTTGTTAACCAGTGGATATCAACAATGGTAAGGCTTAATGAATTTCATTACATAATGTTAGTTCTAGATTGAGTAAGCGTCATCCAAAAATGGAGTTATTAGAAATCACTCACAGATTTAATGTTAATACATTAGATGTATTGCAACAGCTGATTGGTCTGGTGTATTTTTTTGAATAAATGTCAGGTCAGACAGGTTGAGCTATTTTTTGTCTATTTAATTAATCTTACCTTTCCAATATTTGCGATCTGCAAGGCTTCGTGGTAATCGTGATATGTAGTCTGGGGGTTGGCAAAGGCAAAGTCTCCCATCTAGGCATGATATTTTGTCTCCAATATAAAACACTTCTTTCTTATTTTTGGCATCAAACCATTTCGAGAAGAGCATCTTCACCACACCCAGTAGTACACTATGCATGTAGTCAAGTGGCATTCCTCTAATTATATCAAATCCATCCACTAAAGTGAGTTGTGAAACCATCTTAACACCACATACCTACAGGTGGGAAAATTAAAATGTCCTACTAGTTTCTGCTTTAAAATGCAAAGCCGCTGTTATAATTTAGCTAAGCCTGAGGGATATAATTAGTTATTTATATACTGTAGTACGTACACGAGTTCCTGACTGCAGAGCCATTGTTCCTTGTTTTAACACTTTGTCTTTTGTTCTAAGCATTCTTGGAGGTCCTGGAATAAATGGATAAGCCCTTGAGTGGCCTTTACCAACGGACACAATCACTCCTTTGTCTTCGCAGAAAGAGCAACCACACTCTCCATTAAACTGTGTAAACTCTTGACATGCTGCTTTAGCAGGCAAATCTGTAGTGCCAATTAAAGTCACTGCATGACAGGTAATATTTTTAGAAGCAATCAGAACTCCTACATGTGAAATAAAATAAAGCACTGAAACTTAATCGTACTGACTTAATCATGTACTAACAATTACGTGCATGGTATGTAGTTCAAAGGCACTATCCACTGTGAGCTCAAGATAAAGTTTTACAACATTTACACCATACCAGGCCCGGTTTTGGGTACAGGTCAGTTTCAAAATGCTGTCTCCCATACAGAACATATCGGCTGTGGAAGCCCATTTTCAAAAATAAAAGTACACAGCCCCCAATAATTGCAGTGTATATAATAAAGTAAATAAATCTTTGGTGTCTGTCAGACCTACAGATTGCCTATATGCAGTTGCCTTACAAGCAAACTTAAAAGCAATGATCAGTTGGGGCCAGTTGCACGAAGGCTGGATAGTGCTATCTAACCGCTAAGTGATTATTTCAACCGTTGTAAAAATGCTTAAAAAACCATGAAATTACGGATACAGATGACACATAAAGTATAAAAAACATTTAAGTTATAAATACTAAACTTTAACATGAGTTATACTAATCAACAACTGATTTAACAAAGCTTGAAAAAATCACTATCAGGATAGCACTATCCGGCCTTCCTGCAAGTCTGGCCCCTGATCATGTACAAATTTGCAGTTTTATTACCTGTGTGATACAGATGATTTAATTGCTCCCGAAATGGTGCAAGGAATGTTGCCATAGGAGGTTTTTTAGACCCAAACCAGATCCCAGCAAGAATAATTCTCTTTGTGCTAAATCTAGTATGAAATATACAAAATACAAAAACCTTTAATTAATATTACATTTGACTAAAATTAATACTGTATGGTACAAAATATTATTACAAGACCAACATCTTTCATCATGATTGATTCAGCATTAATTAATTAATGCCCATTAGACCTTAAAAGTGCTTATGTCACTAAATTTTTTCCCACATGTTTTCCACATTGCATATTGCAATTCATTGTTTAACACTGACATGTAAGCACCTCTAAGGTATATTGGCAGTCAGGGAATGTGGGGGGTTTTATAGCTTAAGGATGCAGAGGACTGGAGCTACCACTATTGCATCACTGTTTTGGTGTAAATTAATCTTAAATGCACCTATTATGCTTACCGAACAGAGGGGTGAACCTCATTTACCACAACTAAAAGAGGCCAGATCTCTCCTTTAGATGACTTGAAGACATGAACACCATCAGTATTGAAAAGCAGGGACAGATTTGTGTCGTTGTCAAGAAATCCTCCAGGCTTTAACAGTTCTCTGTACAAATCACCATCCATAACATCATGCCAGCTTCTTTCAGCATTTTGAAGGCTTTTCTTAACACGTTTCCTTTCACTGAAACCATGCATAGTTAATATCTGATAGGAATTCTGGATCTGGGAGATAAACAAGTATTAATTAACCCATTAAGTGGCAGTGCTAGATCCCCTTATCATCTGGCATTAGACAGATTAAAATAATAAAGTATGGTGTATCAAGGCATTATGCGACTCAGTGGGTTAAATACAGTTCTGTTGACACATATAATTAGCTCCCTATTGCTAAAATCAAATACCCACAAACATAACCTTCTTTCTTGAAATGCAGTGGTCCTGGAGGGCAGGCAAAGTTCTGACTGACAGATGGATTGACATACCCTTTCATAGAGATGCAAGCATATGTTATGTAGATGTAACATTTGAATCTACTCAGGGCTAAACATAACAGGAGTATGTGACTACCTTATTTATATTACAAGCTGGAAAAAAGTTCATTGACACCCTGACACCTGTGTTCAAGCTTTATCAGATACGATTCCCCATTTTCAAAGAGTCCTTTATCCTATGTACGGGGTAATGGTTATATTTTATTATGCCTCAGATATTAAATTAGAACCTAATTATATTAATATGCAGTAGTTTTAGTACAGTTTCAAGCACTAGTTTTAGCATTTTCAAAATCATGACATCAGACATCATAAGTGCCTCTTTTGGTTAGAAGTAAATTTACTCACTAAAAATCTGCCTAAGGATCACAGAAAGCTATAGTGGAGGAGGAATATTGGTAATATTTGAAAACAGCTGTGCTGAGTGACTCCTGGCTATATCTTAAAACGTATAGGAGTATCATTCCTTTATGAACATTGTCACATTAACTACTTGTTATGTTACTCGGGCATTGTTGAAAACTATAATTCTAATATTACGATACAAGACTAATAACTGCTGTAGGGTCCATTGGGATCATGTTTAATTTACAGTTACAGGTAAATGTTTTAAAATAATAAAATTTTCTAATTTCAGTAAAACTTACCCCTGAACATGGTCTGCAACTGTGTGGCAATTTCTAGTGTCAAGAAGTAATTGTTGGTCTTTTTATCTCTCTCTTTGCCACAAAACCTACAGGAAGGTTCATTATGTTTCCAGGTTGCCATGCACTGTGGGCAGTATTCGTGCACCTTTGCAATATCTGGTTTTTCGGCCTCTCCTTGAACTACAGTTTGTGCAACAAATGCCTTTTTGAGAAAATACAGTGACTGCAAGTGCTCTTTGTGACTGTCATGTGGCAGGTGGAGTATTATTAGGCTCAACAGATCAGATAACGCAGCATACGTTGTCTTATGACGTAAACTGTATTTCATAATGCTCAAAATACTATCTTGTATGGTAATAGAACTACCAGGATAGAGGTATTCCGTATTAACATTGTCTTTATTTGAGTCATCCTCGTCTGAACTATCATATGTCTCTGACTCAGACATATTCAATTCATCCATATTATTGTCCCGAAACTCTGAATCTTCTATTAAATGGCATGGCTCGTCTTGATTTTCACATAGAGTGTCAGAGTCATAAGCATGGTCCTCTCCACTTTCAACATTTATAATTATAGAGGTCTGCTCAGCCAGATCCAGATCAAAATTTTCATCACTTACACACGCCTCATCACTGGAATCTATGCTGTCTACAGTTTGGCTACTCGACCCAACGTCCGTTAAACCACAAATTACATTATCATTCCGCTCAATATCTTCGACGGTTTCAACCTCAACGACATCAGAAATAAAAGTTTCGGATGTACAGGTAGCCATGGCAGCATTTTTTTTCAATCGGGCAAGTGTTCGTTTTGGTATTGATAAATTTGGATCCTTTTTCCACTGATTGTACTTTCGTTTTGATGCCATGTGCAAATTCGCTGGCCTTCGATTCGAAAACGATGGAAAATCCTTCAACTTTGAGTTTTTCGACAATAAATATATATATAATATTTATATAGGGAAAAATGAAAAAGTCAGGGCATTTGATTTCCTGGGTTCGAATAAGCTAAAGTCAAGATGAAAAAAAGCTAAAAAAGCCAAATTATAGAATTTAACTTTTAATTATAGAGGGCCCCCTATACCTCTTCACAATATGCTTTCACGTAAAAATATTTTGCCTTTTCACGAGTCACGGATTAAGAAAATCGTCGATCACGTTTCACGGCTAGGTAAAATAAGCCCTTCACGCTTCACGCAAAAAGTATAGGGGGCCCGATCACGTTTCACGGCTAAGTAAAATAAGCCCTTCACGCTTCACGCAAAAAGTATAGGGGGCCCTCATTATAATTTAACTTGAGTGCTGAATTTTGGATTTGGAATAGCCTTGAAGCCTTATAAAAATTTAGAATGGCTTTGATATTTATTAATTTTTGAAACTGCAATTCCTGCGTTCTGGTGGGACTTTGGGAGATTCACAAAACACATTATTTTGCGGATTTCAGGCAGGCAGGCCGCAGGCAGTCAAAAGGCATGTTTAGTACAGAAATCCTCGACAGAAATTATACAGAAATATGTCAAATATACAGAAAGACCATCATGGGTTAAATATTCTAAAAAGCCAAATAATATTTTAAATTTTAAATATTTTAATAGGAAAGCTAAACAAAATGTTCTCAATCAGGTAGTGGTCCAGTATTAAACCTCTATATCGTCGTGTGTTCGGGCCGGACCGTTACGGAAACGAATCTTCTGCCAGCCAATTAGAAGTTGGCATTTGGCAACCGCCAACTTCCGATGAACATCGTTGCTGGAGGTCTCAAACTGGCTCCTCGAGCTCGACTTTTTTAAGTTTTTAGTTCGCACTCAAAAAATCATACCTCCGTTTGATGAAAAAAGTTATAAAAACCAGAAAAAAAGATTTAAAAAGACACGTAAGTACTAGAATTTACCAAAAGTAGCTGTATTTTTAAATCTAGGGTAGAAATATGATTATTTTAAATCATTTTTTCTTATTTAGAAGAATATTTACTTCGGAATATTTTTCGAGAAAGAAACCTGATCAGAAAATATTCTTACTCGAAATATCAATCAATTTTTAGCACTAATATATCCTCCCAGTTTAGTCGTTTTAAAGCTAAAAATTTAGAAATGCCAGTGTTTGAGCTATTTAACTTTTTAGTATAATATTTCTATCGCAATATCGCAAAGTATTGAACTTAAATCTGTTTATAGGAATTGGATAAAACTGTGTAGCTCCCGCCATTTTGCAATTGTTTCATTACTTCGTGATAAAATATATATAATATAATTCCATCAGCACTGATATTTTGTTAAATTATAAAGCTGCCTAGGCTATTTTCTGACGAAAGGGGTAATATTTATAAGAAAAATCTGACATCACTACAGTCATATTAAACAGAATTAATAAAAGTCAAGGCCTTTTTAATTTTTAAGTATATTTCGGGCAAATTTTATATAAGAAATTGCTTTTTCATTTAATAGTTCAAAGACAATGTCAAAGCTTTATGCAGGTGGTTTGTTTCTGGACGAGTGCGATGATAGCAAAGATAGTTCATTTTGTGAATCTGACTTTCATGACTTGTCTGGCGACGATTCGCCCTCTGACTATGAACAGCAAATGAAGAATCGGAAACGCAAAACTAAAACTCCTTGCAAGCTCAATGAATATGAAACTGAAGATATTTCTAAAACAAAACGTTCAAGCAATAGTAAGTATGTTAAAAATCAACATGACTGCTTTGGTATTATGATTAAATTCTGCATGTTGGAACTAGGCTGCATGTTGCATCAAGCAGATAATATACAACTTATGTCTTATGGTATTTTTTCAGAAGGTTGGTGTGTCGTTGAGTGGGATGGGGAAGATACCTTTGACTGTCTTTCAAAAAGCAAAATAGCAACAATAAATGGAGACGACCCACTGTATGTAGAAGGAGAAGAAGTTTTAGCTGTCTACCGGGGGAAACCATACAAGGCAGTTATTGTCAGTGTGGCAGGTATTTTTGAAAACCATGCACTCATATCCCGTAACGTGCGAACTATGAAGATGTCATATATGGAAAGAAATCAACAGCATTTCCTTGATATGTTTTTGTAGACAAGTTCACATATTTTGCTATGCAGGTTTTTCTTGGCGGGCCTCGTGAACAAGTTTTTCTTGTTGAAAAGGCTTGCATCCGCTGCATCCTCTGTATTAATATAGACGCGATCTCGTGTTTTATATAATAGAGTATTTTAATAGAGAGGTTGAGATTGACATTTTATACAGCGTACCGGCTTAACTTAATTGAATATTGAGACAATCTGCAATCAAAAAGCTTCAAAGACGTGTATAAAACGTACTTTCCAATACGATTTGAAATTTGCCGGTGTTTGCGGTTAGCGCCATTAGCAGTTTGCCGTGGACATGAATCTTATTAAACCTTTTTATAATATCTGATTAAGACGCGTAAATGCTGGTCCAACATGCATCACCAACGTAATGCACGTCGGATGTAAAATATTGCCACGTTTTGACTGGATTTAAATGAAAATGAATGTTTGCATGGCGTTGTTAGCTTCGTTGGTGAAGGACTTAGTCACTCTAGTGTTTTATTAATATAAGCCAAACTTTATTTTCTTGTAGATAGCCCATAGAAATAATAGACAGGTCTAATATTTCTATGAGATAGCCTTTGCTTAACCCATTGAGTCGCATTGCACCCTGATGCACCCTACTTTAGTATTTTACTCTGTCTAACGGCAGACGATTTTACTCGTCAAAAGGAGAGCGCTGGCGCTTAATGGGTTAACTGGCCTATCTGCCCATGTGTCTAGTTAACCCATTGGGTCGCATTGCACCCTGATGCACCCTACTTTAGTATTTTACTCTGTCTAATGGCAGACGATTTTACTCGTCAAAGAGAGAGCGCTGGCGCTTAATGGGTTAAATACTCTTACAATTTAGAAACTAAGAAGGATGCAGAACAATTCTACAGGCAAAAAACAAAGAAACACCTGAATGTTGGTAATTCTGTGAAAAAGGAGCCAAAAAAAGCTACTACAGCTGTTAAACCTAAGAAACCGAAATATAGTACTGTGCCTGTGGTTGAAAAAGCTCAAAGAGGCCAAATGAAAGAATTACTAAACGTCTTTCAGCAAAAGCCGAACTTCGAAGCAGATTCTCCTAAGACTCCTGAGAAAGTTGACTTGACCAACATAAAAGAACGCACTTTCACCTCTCCATTCGACCTCAGAGATGAAGTAAGGCACTATAAAAGTACTGTGTGAAATACAATAGTATACCACATGTTAATTAGTCCACTCTAAACCATGAACTTGTCGCGATCTTTGCCATATCTTGCTATTAGTTTGTCAAGATTTAATAATTTAATCTACACCATTGATCACCCATCTTTCCTGACAAGAATATCTATTATTTGTTAACAATTTTTTTTTAGCAATGTAAGAAGGATACGGAGACAA